CCCGCGCGGACAAAGGGCGCGCGAGGGCCCCGCGCCGCCGCCCCGCGCCCCGCGCGCTGCTTTCGCCGCCATCCGCGCGTGCTGCCGCACAGCACCGCTGCTGCGGGCGCCGAGGGCTGGCGGAGCCGCTGCGGTCCCGGCGCGGCTCGCCGCGTGCTCGCCCTCCCCTCGGAGGCGAGGAGAGGTCGCCAGCCAAGCGGCCCCGGTCCGAGCCCTCGGAGCGGTCCCTGGGTGGGAGGGGACGGAGAAAGAGAAGAAAAGAGCGCGGCGCCTGCGGGGAGGAGGAGGAGGAAAGCGCTGGTGCCGCAGCAGGGGCGTGATGCACAAAGGGAGCGCTTGTTGAGCCCTGTAGTTTGCCGAACTCGACGGGGACCTGGCTTTGAAACGTGTATTTTGTCTTGAGCTGATACAAAGTGAGATGGGGAAAATGCCATTGTTTCGGGGCAGAAAGACCCCGCGCGGGGGAGCTGGCGGCAGCCTTGCCGTGTAGGTGTGGTTCCTGCCAGGACTTGGTCCTTGGCTCCCTATTGTTGTTTCCCCAAGCAGCCCCGCTTTGCTCGCCCTGCCCTTGGTTCTTCTCCACGATATTCCTGGGAAGTGGCTGCCTGGTCGCAGCTGGGCAGCTGCATCGCGACCTGCTCCTCTTTGTCGCTGCCATTGTCTCCCGTGGACGACGCCAGGGGCAGATGCTTTGTCATTCAGAGCCTCTTTCAGCACTGCACCCTGCGAATTTTTTTTTTTTGCCTAGCTTCCAATTGCGTCAAAATGGATTGGGCTGCCTTTCAGTTAAATTGCTAAAATATATAGAAATTGGACAAAACTTCTGCTCTGAAGATATCTGGTGCCACCCTTCCTCTGAAGAACYGCTCCTCACCCTCTTCTTGACGCTTCCATTGTACAGTGCCACTGCATAGCCCTGCTGCTGCTACCTCCCGTCACAAAGCAAAATGCCCCTTGCTGGGCTGGGTGTTATTCACAGGGAATGCTGTGGCCTGTTCATGCATCCTTCTGGATTAGAAGTCACCTCACTGCTCCTGGTGTCAGATGATTTCATTGGGATTTTGCCTGCTAGGAAGAAAAAGAACTTGATCAGATGTAGAGGTGCATTGTTCTGGATGAGTRCGTTGGGCTTCTGAAGCTGCATGTGTGAGAGGCAAAGATGGGCTTGACTCATCCTTTTCTCTTTGGAGAGTGTGCTGTAGTCTGGAAAAAATGTCTTCTTTCAACCACTGTTCTCAACAGGGTCTTAAATGCATTTAGGGTTCTCAATGCCCTTGCCTCAATATCTTCTCTGGTGTCCCTCATAAGCATCCGCACTGAAAACTGTGGATTCATGCACCGAACTGCAGACCAACGTGTCACAGCAAACAACATCTGCTGGTAACGCATCGGTGGCGTGATGCTACGCAACTTGGCGGAGTGCAGAGTCATTTCTTGAAGCATCCTGAAGAGGCAATGGCTTGGCAAGCTGCTGCTTTCAATAATTAAATTTGTTTGAGGAGCTGTTTCCTTAATGGGGCAATCCTCTACCCTACCATCCACMAAAAAAAAAAGCAGAGGCAGTGAAGAGCAGAGAAAGCTTCAAGATCTTTCCACTGTCTTAGCAAATGCTGCTGGGTGTGCCCTGCCTGCTGTCTAGTCCTGCGTCTAGCAGCACTGCGCTCCTAAGGCTGCAGAAGGAAATGGTTCCAGTTCAGCTGCCTCTCCTCTAGTTGCTTCCATGCTGCTGTAGACTGGCATCATTGGGTTGACCTTGGATTTGTGCTTCCACATTTACCTTCGTTCTCTCCTAAACTGACTCAATTATTTGCATAACTTCTACATCCAGAATGCTGAATCATGCAGCTACAGATCTGGGATGTTTTGTCCAAACCCCAGCTTGAGTATTTAGGACTAATATATTTGTGATATGCCGAGGCTCTTTTTTCTTCTTATTTCTTTTCTTCCTTTTTTTTCCTCTCTATTTCTCTTCTCCTTTGAGTCCTATATTTTGGATATCCTCTGGCTCAGCACTCTGTCTTTGTTTAACCACAATTTTATCCCTGCCACGAACTTGATTTGCAACAAAAGCAGCCTAGGGGTGGCGGATCAGCCCCAGCCATTAGTGACATTGCTGAATCATAGTCCACATCGCTTAGCTGGCTGCCAGGAAGCTTTTTAGTCTCCCCTCACGAGCTTGCTGTTGGAGACAAGTGAGCTGTTATCTTCCAGCTTCTTGAAGTTCAGTACTCATTTATTCAATGTTCTTCAGCTTCGTGATCGATATCGGTTTGCAATCCTGGCTTTCATACGCGCTCTACATGCGTGCTATTACGTTATCTTTACTTTCTTGCTCTCAAATATTCCAACACCTGGAAAACATTAAAGCCTGCTGAGCTGCATTTGTCTGCCAAAACTACGCCCCAAAAGYGCACCATATGGCCAAGAGATTTTTTTGAGAAATGAAAATAAGAAGACTCAAAGAAAAGACTTGCTGCTTACGCTTCTGAACAATGATGAATAAGTCAGGAAGTGGAGGTGGCTGATTTGAGTTCAGTTTTTTTCCCTCTTTAGCAGTTATGAAACATACTGACAATACTGTATTTCCAAATTTAGAGTTTAAAATTTTGACTACTTAATAGCTGATAGCATAACCCAGTTAGAAGCATGTTCACACCATGACTGGAACACTGTCAAGGAAAAGCACTGGATGAGTCCTCTTTGAAGAGGTTTTTGGCTCTTGAAACATGGATCTTATKTGCATGAAGAAACTACTGAGATCTACAATAGGAGACCTGCAGTGCGGCTCTGGCCTTTCCACTCTTCCCCTTCTTCCTTCCCCTCATTGCCTTTAACCTTAGAGCATGGCTGCTTCTGCACAAAACCTCACACTTCTGTTCTCCTGAAAAACCAAGAAAGATGAGGAGGTAACAATGAAATAGCGAGCGGCCCCAAATCCTGGCAGTTACTAGCAGAAGAGTTAGTGTGCATTGCAGAAAGGATTTGACCATGTTCCTCCTCAGGCTTCTCGTTTCCACATCTACCAAACCCAAAAGTGATTTGACTCCCTTTCATTCAAAGACAAAGTCAGAAATGTGGGAAGTGGCCGCTGGAAGCCTGCAGTCCCTCCTGTATGTGTATGCTGATTTGTATGTATCTGCTGGCATTCCCTCTGGAAAAGAAGGAGCATTGCTGAAGTTGGTGTTCAAAATGGCAGCAGTGCCTGGACTTACCCCTGCTGCAGTTGCCTACTCTTCATTGTTCAAAAATAATCAGAAAATTGCAGAAAAACCTTGAAGCATGATCACATACTTCTATTTWTTTTTTAATTTAGTCAKCAAATTGTTATGCTAGGAAACTAKTTTTTTCCACCATGAATTTTTTCCTCCATTAAATTTCTGTCCTTAACGCTCATGCAGCTTAAAAGCATGTGTGTCAAGTTTCTTACTGTGAGGAGTAGCATTGTGAAGTTTATTTTTCTTTAAATGAAGAAAGATCAAGCATAGCACTTTTAAATCTCAAAGAAAACTGGAGTTATGATACTTCATAAATAAAAGATCACTTAAATTTTAATTTAAAATGTGAGATGCCTCAAAGCTTTTGAATGAAGGAGTCAGCAATTTAATACTTTGTGTTTAAATATTAATTTGCAACATGCTGGATGATGCTTTCCCTCCCCCTCAATTGTCTTGCAGTATGGCTAAGGTAATCAAAGCTTCTTTTTTCTTCTCCAGTTTGGTAGATATTGATCAGCACATCACTGTATTGCTACTTTAAAGTYAATTAAAGTCAACTTAGGGACATGAATAACTTTTCATAATGTGGCTGAAGTATGCTCAATTATTTTTTACAAAAAAATGAATTGCTCTTGCTTTTGTCTCATCCCTGTCCAAAGTGCTCCTCCTGAGTACATAGAAAGTTGGGGTGGAAAAAAATAGTTGCGTGTGTCTCAACGGGAAGAGAAGCTGGCTTTGAAATTTAGAAACATGTAAATAACATGAATGTAAATTCAGAAGTACTTGGTGAAAATTTCCAGTGCTCATATATCAAGCTGGATGTGTTTTTTGTTTTGAATTTTAGGCATCCGATCATGGGACACAAACTTAGTTGAATGCAACTTGGATCAAGAACTTAAACTTTTCGTGTCTCGCCATTCAGCTCGATTTTCTCCCGAAGTTCGAGGTGAGTTTCTTCATTTTTTTACAAGTCTTGTCACAGTATTTTTTTTCTTTCTCTGTTAAAAGTAAAATAAATAAATATGCACAGGTATGGCATGGCCCACTTTTTTCCTACAGTTCTTCACAATTAATACTTTTTATCCTAAAATTACCATTTCTTTTAACTTTCTGACAAAAGGAAATGTTTGAACTCTTTTGAAAATAATCAGGCTTCCAGTTTAGCTTCATGTATACTGCTCTGATTACTTTGGCAGTAGATGTTAGCATTAGGGCCCCACTGAGGTTAAGTGCAACGTGGTTTCGGAGCGAGCAGCTTGTTTGTGTAACAGCAGCCTAATAGCGCCGGGGACCGAAGCTGTTCCTGATGTGCGTGTCGCGTGCACGCACAGTGTTCCTTCCTTCTCATTTCTCTTGACATCATCTAAGAGGTAAGAGTGACTTATCCTCCATGCCCCAGACTGAGGGCAATCTGTGGCTTGTCCTGCCCCTATAGCAGTGGATGTTGAGGTGGAAACTTGTCACTTAAGACCAGCCTTGCTAGGTCACGTCCAAGGGTTGCTTGAAAACTATCTGGTAGTGACCTTAGGGTCAGGAGATGAGGTGAAGAAGAAAGTGATAACTAGCCCTCTAATAAATCCCTGCTGTGTTCACTTCTCAGCAGTAATGGTGGGGAACCCAAAGCTAGCACTTTTCTATGCAATTCAGGCATTTCTTTGCAGGTTTTCTTCAGCAGGTTATCTGCCTTGGTGTATCTGCTGCAGGCAAAACTGCATCCCATGTGCTTGGGATGCCTTGGCTGTTCAGTCCCCCAAAATGCGCAGATGCTGGAAGGTCTGCAAGTACCATAAAGCAATCCAATAAAAAACTTGTGCTTTTGGGCTATACCAGAGCCACTTGATGCCCTCATCCATGGCAGTCTCGAAGAGCAGACAGTTGTTTATCAAAATAACAGCTCATTCCTCCTTTGCTGAAAGGGCCTTTTCCCCCCTAGAACATCACTCTGTAGTGTTGGTAGAGCCCGAACTGCCATCGCTGCTGTTGTGTGAATGTRACTGAAACCCAGTGTTCCTGCTCAGGTGATTCTGAGCTCTTTTCTTTCTTGGTATGAAAAGCTGAGGGGTGAGCTGCTGTGAACACAAGACTCTTCTTTGGCTTTTATGAGAAAATTAAAAATTTCCAGGGTTCATGAGTCTTCTCTRCTCCCTTTCTTTTCAAACCTGTCCTCCATTTAAAGGATTTATACCAATAAAAAAAAGATATGAAGTGTAAAATTATGTTTTATTCTGGTTTCAGGGAATCAAATATTTGGAAACACATCTTATAAATACTGAACATGCATGCGTGAAACTGACTTTCAGATAAAAACTGTGTAGCCTTCTTGAAGTAGTATAGGTTACATTCAGTGGTGAATCATTGTGCACATGTGCACATTGACTGATCTAACCTAGTATTGACTAATTATAAATTCCGACCTTAAAATGAGACTTAAGTAGGGTGAAGAGGATTGTGAAATGTATCATAATACTACATTGTGTTTTTAGAGATAATGACTCTTGACAATGATCCCGATGTTTTCCTAGCATGATGGTGTTGATCTGATAGGCCTGAATAATGTACCAAAATGACCTGCATAAATAATTATTCTTCTTGCAGCATAAGTTACAGCAAACTCTTTGGATATGGGGAGAGATGGCATAAACATTGCCAAATTTAGCAGTAGGTGGGGGAACATTTGTAATTTTTCCCTTGATTTGAAAAATAGCAGAATCTATGCAAGAATATTCATTGTGAACAGTTAGGGGCAGAACATGTAGTTCATGAATTAAATGAAAGTAAGCTCAATTCTAAAATATGTATTTTTCAGGTTGATTTAAATATCACAAGGCAAACTCAACTTTTAGATGACACCAGTTGTCCTTTTTTACAGTGGGAGTATTCTGATATGTGAAACTAGCACGACTTACCTTTAAAGGTTATAAATGGTCAATGCACCTCACTTCTAATATGCATATGTTTTACTTGGAAAAATTCAGCCAGAAAAGTTCTGTCTTCTCTTAACAAATSATTTCAGTAGTCATTATTTTAGCTGTCCTGTTTGGATATTACTTCTTGAGAGCATTGCATGAATTAAAATACAGCAAATTGTGCTTTCATATAATAAATGGTATAAGCTTATGTACCTCTTTCTTTCAATAGAAGGATTATAGAATCCTCTAGGAATTTTTTGCTAGGAATTATATTTTTAGCTGTTTATTTGTCTAGACTTGCCTGTTTAGTGTGTTATTGTGTTGAATTACAGCTTAATTGCATGTGACTGGAATTCATCAGCATCTCTATGACAAGCAGTAATGAATGTGTTTTTCAGCGCTGCTCAATCTTTAAACAATAAGCTGCCAAAATCTATAGTGAAAGAGCATTTAGGGAGTCTTAAACCTGGAAAAAAAATAAAGGGCATCCTCGAATAAAGCTAGCCCTCTTGACCAGTTTCTTCCTGGATTATTTGCACAGAAGCCCATTGGCATCAGACTCTCACTGCAGAGATTAGAGGGCAATGTTTTAGTCTCTGTAGTTCTTTGATGTTGGATCTGCATGAGACTCCTTTGTCTTCTCCGTGCTCTCATAGGAAGGAGGCTTTTATTTTGTAGCCATATGCTAATAAAATTTCAGAGTATTTGATTTAATACCTGAGCATTGGGTTTTGGTGAATGTTTAACCTGCAAAGCTGGCTGCATTAGTTTTGCTATGGCTGTGCACTTGGAATCCTGTGGAATTTGAGTAACTAGGTGACTCTCTTTCTGCAAGGGAAGTATTCCTCCAAGGTGGTAGGGTAGCCTGCGCTATGTGAGACGGGATGTGATTAAACAACAGCCTTTATTCRCAATCTTTTGACACCAAACCCTTTGTGTACCTCAATCATTGGGACAATTAACTCTTGGGGAAGGGCAGAGTCACTTGGGGTGTCTGCGCAGCCGCTTGCATGGTGAGGGTGACCACCGACAAAGCCTGTCTGGTCGTGATGTTTAATCATACCCACTGCCAGTTTAGTAGGTGTCTGTGCTGCTGGGAGAGCTCAGGATGTGCACAGCAGCAGTGCAAAGGGCACCACTCTTCTCCCAAAAGGAAGCTTGGGAAACAGGGCTAACCCGGTCCCTACAGAGCTGCCTGGGGTTTACCATGCCGGCCAGGGGAGTAAATGAGCCTGTCGGAGCACTCGTGTGTGTGCTTTTCACTTGAGGATTTTGAGGTTTAATCCTTCCCATTCACAGTGAATAGCAATATGCATATGGATGTTGGAGCATACCCGGAGCCCAATCCCCTCTGCTCTTATGAAGACAGGGGATTATCTTGGCAGTATTTTTGCATCCTATATTCAGCGCTCGGACAATTCACAGATAMCTCTCATTGCCTGAAAAACAGGATTCTGGAGGGAAATGCGAGCAGGTCCTCTCGGATAGCCGGTGAGGTGGCTGAGTTAGCAGCTCCTCAGCACTTCGCGGTGTTGCAGCGATGCTGCTGTCAGGTGCTGCGAGAAATGAATAGCAGGGCCTATTAGCTGGTTGCCAAGGCAACAGGCAGCAGGACTTAAAATGGGCACTCCAGCGCTTGCCTCTTTGTTTCCCGGCCGTGGGCTGGAGATAACTTCCATCTTACGGGAAAGCCAACTTCACAAGGACAAAAGGGGAATCAGACGAGGAGTTGTAAAACATGCGTGCTGGAAATGGGGCTGTGTAGCTGGAAATGAGGCAAGGCAAGGGGGGAGCCTTGGAAAGAGCTCTGTGGAAACTGCAGCTGTTCCTACCGGGCCTCCTTCAATTAAAATGTCTCAGCTGCAAGAAGCTGAATATGCTCCTTCACAAAAGAGGGAGTAAATGGGTTTGTGAGGGGGAGGGAACCACTAAGGGTCCTTCTGCAAGGTGTCCACACCTGCTGTTTTGTCCTCTGCTTCCACCYGGGGACACTTAACTGTTGTATTGGTGTAAGTTCAAGTCCTTGCCTAGATGAAGACCACTTTATTGAAAATGCTGCTCAATAGCTAGTCACCCCTCTGGACCTTTTTTTCTGAGCAGAAGCAACRCTGGAGCCATGTATTGTGAGTGCTTTGTACTTTGCTGTTCTCCAGGAAACTCATCTGCAGGAGACATGTCTCACCACTTTGCCCAGGAGCCAGCAGCTGGTGACCGTGTTGGCTTAAGGGACTTCTTCCTTGTCTGCACCTGTGGGTTTATTGGAACCAGCCTGCCTGGAGCTGGGGGGCACCTCGCTAATCTGCAGGAGGTCTCTGGGGTCCCCTCAGCAGCCACTTGAGTGAGCAGTGAGGACGGTCTTGCATATGTTCCTTCTGTGAAGGGTGACTGTTCTCTCAAAGAGTTGTCATAACCAGCAGAAACTTGAGCACTTTCAGTTGGAGAACTGCCGTTTTAAAGATTACAGGCATGAGTTATGGCTATTCTGTGGAGAATCACCTTATTTGTCCATTTTGGACATGGACACCTGCAGCTCTGTAGTTGGCCAAAATGGTGTCAACTCATTGCCTTTGTCAGGGGGTCTGCATCCAGTTAATATTGCTCCTGGTGGCTTGTAGTGTGAGTTCATAGAGCAATGGATAAAATCCTATGGGATTTGATGCTGTCCTACTGAAAACTGTAATTAAAATTCTTTGAGTAAGATGACAGGTGCTTTATTAAAGTAGTACAGGCAAAATCTGTAATTTAAAGTGAAACAAATGAAAAAGAATTAAAGCAAGGCCAGATTTGCCTTTTCCTCATACCTCCCTACAGCCAAGTATCATAGAATCATAGAATGGTTGAGGTTGGAAGGGACCTCAGAGGTCATCTAGTTCAACCCCCTGCTCATACAGGGTCACCCAGAGCACGGGGCACAGGGCTGCGTCCAAGCGGGTTTTAAAGATCTCCAAAGAAGGAGACTCCACAACCTCTCTGGGCAGCCTGTTCCAGGGCTCTGTCACCCTCACTGTCAACAAATGTTTTCTTAAGTTCCTGTGGA